GGGCCACGGCGCTGATCGCCTAGATGATGGAGCCCGAAGCAATCCCGGAAGCCGCTGATAAACAACACAGCTCTGTGGTTGTCTCGGTTAGGGCCTTGCTACCCCAGACATTGAAGACCCACATGGCCCAGGCACGGCGTTGTACAAGACGACGTTGGCCTCTGCACTCGACTCCTTCGAAGCGGAGATCTGTTGAGGCTGCGGGCTGAAGGAGCATGATCTGAGTAGCCAAGTTGTGTCATCAGTCCAGCAGGTTCCAAAGCGCTTCAAGCGAACTGCGTCATGAAGCTTGCTTGGCGAGCATGCCGAGGGCCTAGAAGCCCACGGCCAACGCACAAAGGTCGGGATCGCCTGTCCTGAAAATCTGCGAAGAGCTGCAGAGATCTCTTCCATTCGAGGCCCTCTGTGCAGGCACTCACAGCCTTGGCCCGACAGCAAATCTCACTCTGAGGAAGCCTGAACCGCAGTTAGATACACAAAAAGCGTTCGAGAGGTTGAACCCCCGTCAGGTCTTTCAATCACTGCCGAATCAGCCCAAGAAGACCTCCAAGATGTCCTTATCTTCGTGGCAACCTGCATCTCAAATCCTGAGAGGCCTCTGCGTCTCCGAAGGCTCCGAGTAGCGGCGCTGGTTGTGAAGACATCAGGGCTTCTGGTGCCGTAGAACCTTTCGGACTCGTTTGGCTCTCATTGGATATCATCGGAGCCTGATCCGCCATTCTTCCAGCGGCTGGATATCATGCTTTGTCAGGGCGTAGTGCAATTCCTTCAAACATTTTGGAGCCTGCGGCCTGTTTACATCTTGCAAGGTCATGTGCCCAAAATCGTTCGGTTAACACGAAACACTCGCCAGCAACATCGCTCTGGCGCCTGATGATTCGAGACTCATGCATCGCCATCTATCTCCAAATCAGTCTCGGTATCTCTGTCTCTCTCTCTCTCTCTCTCTTTCTCGCCCGCTGTTCTGTACATGAACACATCTATGACAACGACGCAAAGGCCCCGTCTCGGTATCCAAATTTCCACCAGATCCAGCAACCCTCCATAAGTAGGATCCCAAGGAGTTCCACTCAACAGGCCACCCTCATACAAACCCCAACAACGGGGCCGAAAGGGGCTCGAGCTCCAGCTCCAAGAGGTGAGACTGCAGGCAGTACGAGGTTACTAAGCTAAGCCAACATAATCAGCCGCTTCAAAATGTTGTCGCAGGTGCTTCAACGCTGGTTTCATCTGCACTTCGCCCCCTTCCCATTCAGCCCGCGCAGCTCTGCCAGGAAGGCCAGCGCAAGTCGCCATTCAGACGCACAGGCGCTGATCAAGGACGTGCCTTTAGAGGTGTTCATAGCTCGAGACTGTGATGCATGGTGTGAGGACTCTTGCATGTTTTCCGGGCAGCCTTGAAGGTTTCTGGCCTTTGGGGAACGCAGGGGTGTTGGGGCGATCCTTGCTGCGGGTTCAACGGTTCATGGCCAAGTTTGAGGCTGTCAGATTCCGCACTGAGACCCGAAGCTTCTGAAATTCACATCGGGGCTTACACTACAAAGCCGAGGAGCAAGTGATGGCATCTGCCTGAGGCTAGCAGCTTCAGGTGTTGTCTTGCAGCATCCCATGAGACCTTTAAACTTTAAACATGATGCCAGCCCTGCAAAACGTGTTTAGGGGTTTTCGGGGTGGTCTCTCTTCTTCCAGAGTTGAGGCGTTTGTTGTGTGAGGTACTTTGCAGTTTAGAGTGGTCTCCCTCCCCAGCCAGGTATATGGCAGCACGAAGTTTCTTCCTCCTGGTCACAGCATGCTGGCTGAGTATTAGAATTTTGCCTTTCTTGGACAAAAAGAACCACCTGATTGTTATACCCACAAGGCTACACAACTCCTTAGAACATCCAGACCCCGCCTTCAGCTTGAATTCTCGGAGCTGCGTGTAGAGCAATCTCGCTTCAGCAGCGTGACCCTCCTGGAATCGAAGTGCGCCGTGCCAGGGACATACCTAAACCCCCCAAAGTAGGTAAAAGTCTCCAAGGGGCTCGGGCGCTGAAGGCTTTCTTGGCTTTGCGGGTTTAAAGCCTTACTTGTCTTGACAACTTGAGAAACGCTGCGATGCCCAACCCAGTGTCTCTGGTCTCTTTCTCCGTGACATACCACTCGGCCGTAAATGCATGTCGACTCGCATACAAGAGCACGTGTGGAAGTGTGGCAATGCACAACTTGCGAAAGCTTATGATTCTAGATGTTCTAGGATGCAGCTCATATACTGCAGCGCCAGATCATGCAGACTCCGACATCACCTGGGCATGAACTTGGACACCCTTTCTCGCGCGCTCCCCCATTCAAGTCCTTGCATGCGTTGATTGCAGTGTTGAAGGAGACCTCAGTTTTTGGCCAAAGCTTATACAAACTACGAACTGCGGCTCCACATATTCCAAGAGAGTCGCAAGATCTGGCTGTGCCTGGCTGGTGACCAGCTCAGCAAAGATGGCCAGCGCGATCTGCCACTGGCCTCCAGCTGAGAGCTTCGCGGGATGTTCCGCGTTTTCTTCGTTTTCTGCGGATGCATTGCTATTCAGCCATGAACGTAGAAAACCAAGCTGACAGCAGGCTTTAGGGTTCGAGCTCAATATAGTCTGAACTTTGCTGTTCAGCGACCCACTCCTGCCCTGGAGCCGAGACGAAGTCTAAGTGAAGCGTATCTGATGGATGGGGAATAAACACAACTGGCAACATGCGTGCGCTTGGCTTGAAAGTGTTTCTTGAGAGCTGTCAGGGGCCTCTTGACGAATTTTTTAGTGTGGAGGAGGTCGACGAAGAGAGAAGGAACTTTGAACTGAGGTTGTTCGGCGCAATGGGCCTGTGAGATGGTCCAGGGTCTTTGGGGACAGGGCCGAAAGGCGCTGGATCCTTGACCCGGGTTGCATAAACTGCAGTGCCACGTTCTGTAACGGTCTTAGACTCCAGATTGACGCAATGGTCTCCAACCTGTTTGGGAGACCGGAACCTCGACCCCACATTATGAACCGCCCAAACTGGTCGGCAGTTTTGTAGACCTGGCGACAGATCCCAAACTCTCAAGCAGCGTCAACATCTGAGCCTCCACGATCATAGGCAGCGATGGCAGTGTTGTAAGACACCACGCTCGCTTCAGCCTGCAGTGAAGCCATGGGTGGATTGGTGCAGCTACTGTCCAGGGAAATGGGCACTGACGTGCGAGAGCTAAAGCTTCTGTGGAGACTACAAGGGCAGGATGCTTCATTGTGTCCTCATGCACACTGCAGTCTCCGTGCCCGCAGTCTCGCTGGCTTGCATGACTCTCTGGAGCGTGTGCTTTATTCGAAGTGTGTCGCGCCCGGCCACTGAGATGTCAGCCGCGGTGAACCTGAAAAAACAAGAGCTTTTACAGTGACTAAATCGGCCAGAAAGCTTTGAGATCCCCGAAGAGTTCCACGGCCAGCTGCCACACACTGCACTTGACGCAAGCGCTCATCGCCGCGTTTTGACACCTTCTGTGTGAGCTCAGAAGCCCACTGCAAGCTCAGGTTTTGGTGTTTAGCGAATGTCTAAGAGAAAGCGCGCGGAGATGAGAAGTCAGCTGAGTGAACATACAACATGGACTTGCCGATTGAAGCCCCAGCAGGCGGGACAGCAACCATCACGAGCTACTTAAACAGCTCTCAAACGATCTCGTGCTCCCACGGCTTCCCTAGCACCGTATGGAAGGGAAAGCAGCTTCTGGGGGTTTCCCTGAACCTCACCTACACTTTCAATTCGGAACAAGCTCGAAGCGAATTGCTCTCAATGCATCTAGGCCACACCACGTTCTTCTGTAGGCTTTGCTGCTCCAACTGCGTCAGCAATGACAGTGCCTGCTGCCACTGGCCGGCTTTGTCGCAGGCGCTGATGGTGACGCCGTACCTCGGCTACATCCTCACGCATGTTGGATGCTACCTCAGCCAAAATCCGGGTTTTCGCTGGGGAACTTAATCCTTAAGTTGCCACGATGCTTGTGCTGAGCTTTGTAGCTGGGTTCATACGGGTGATTCCCATCGAGGAGATGTACCTTATTGTTATTTCATATGTTGAAACTCCTAAACAGACTCAGGTTCCTGAGCAAGGTCGATGTCAGGGTGTCGGCTACCAAATCCAGAGGTGAGCCATCTTCGCGAAAAGACTCAGTCACTTCTATCAACGTGGTCCACTGAACTGCCATACCTGGTTTGCGAAATTCAGATATAAAACACCGACAATCGCTGTACTATCTCAAACAAGCTCCCCAGAATCATGCCAGGAGGCTCAGAGCACACACGCACTAGCGACAACGAACACAGGATGGACTAATCAGCAGGGTAGTACTGATGCCAAGCCCTGATTCTCAGCCCCACTCCCTCGAACGGCAAACATAATCAGAATCATCACAATACGTACAGTATATAGTATTAATAATCAGTATATAATCATAACAATCCCTAAGAAACCCCTCTCGCCCGAGTTGCACGATCGCGCTGGGGGACTTCGGCTCGTCGGCCAGGTGCCGAGACAAGTAGCCAAGAGCCTGCCCAGACCCGATCCTAGACAGATGCACCCGCGCACACACACACACACACACACACACACACAGTGACACACACACACACACACACACAAAGTCATACATATGCATATCATACACATATGTCATATACATATACATGCTTAGAGACACACGCATGTGGGTTTGCAGGTAGCATGGGTAACACGAAAGCACACCTGCTCCTGGTTTCCGTGCTTTTTGCGCTCATACATGCTCTCGTTGGGGGAGAAGGCAAGGGGGTGACCGCAAAAACAAATCACTTCATTGAACCAGTCTGGTTTCCTGCTTTTTGCTTGTAAAGTTAAGACTTCGGCGAAAACTTACCTGCAGCAATACAAACCGCACACCAACCGTCAGGGGCGGACTACGATCATCAAGGATCAGGTTCGCAACTTAAGTTCAGCTTAGGACGGATCGTTGTGTCCGCCATATTCGGCTGAACTCGTGTGACCTTCCATAAATTGCACCCGCCGCCTCAAGCAAGACTTGACGACAACTTCCAAACTCCAACCTCCATCCAGAGCCCTGCGCGGCTGCAAGCGCTGATGAGCCCAACCCAAGTCGTGGCCTCTGACGCAAGCAATGTCAAGCAAAAGGCTCAAAAAGGCACAAGACCCTACGAGCAGCTCAACTCCGAACTCCAGGATGGTGGTGGGTTGGGTTGGGGTTTCGCAACTATCCGAAGGAGTGTGGCAGGATCCAGGATGGAGCCCTTAATAGCCTCAGTGATTCAGGCAAGTTGATCCTTACAATAGGGAGCCTTGTGCTTAACTTCTGTATTAGTCACGTAGCTTAGTAAGATTCCTGTGTGCACTCACGACTTAGCACCGGAACCTATTTGCCAGTAACATGCGGGCCTTAAAGAATTGTGAGCGTGCTGAGTTGGTGGCACGGAGATTAGCTGGCGAGGACTGGCCGGCGGAAAGATATCCGAATTCTTCATTGGAGCACCCAGTACAAGCCACACATGAATGTCCAACAGCTCAGTGAAGAGTCCAGAATCCGACAATTTCTTTGCCAAACTTGGCGGCCCGCAAGCAACCATCAGAAAGATGTCCAAGGCCTGAGGTACGAGCTTGCGATCCTGGAAGGCATGGTCAGTTCTGGCTCGTCAGTCTTGGCTCTAAGAGGGGCCTGAAATGATCCCACAATGTTGACGTTTCAAGGTGCAAGTCTCGTGCTCGTCCCCGGAATTTCATACATCTTCTTTGGCACATACTTATTGGCAGAGCCTTGACAAGTCGATCGGCTTAGTCCATTCCATTGACGATTGATGTTCGAGCTTCTTAGTCCCGAGATGTCTGGTCGACGTGCAGGGAAGGCTTTGGATGCTGTCTAGCTTGGGAGGCTTCGGGCTTATAATGTGCAGTATGCAGCTTGTTCGGGTCGCCGAGACTGTTCTATGGTGATCTCCAGGTTGACTAGACCTATGTGCAGGCTTTAGCGGCAACAGAAACGTGTGGGAAAGGACACCAGTTTCCAGAGACTCCAGAACGAAGGTCGCCGTCATGAGCAAAGCACGTCCTTGAATAAGACGTCCGGGCATCCCACACTGTTGCCCTCTAATCCCCTCTACTGCAAACAACAAACACTAGCCGGCCTCCAAAGCTTGAAACAGTTGCAGGGCGGGCTGCCACTGCCCCGACTTCTCGCAGGCACCGATGGCCTCGACTGTTCATGTTGATCTCCAGCAAGCCCGATAAGGAGCTTCACGCAAAAGCCTAGGCCTAAACTTTCCGAACCTCTGCAGAGAGTTGGGAGTGAAGGGGCGAAGATCTGCACGGGCTTCTGTAAGCAGATCAGGGGCAGCATTGAAAGTGATGACGTCTGCTTGAAGGCCACCGGAGAGCACCTCGGGTTTGCAAGTGAATATCACAAGCGCGGGCTTCACATCTTCAAGCTGCGCCCACCTATACAGGTCTGCAAGCCTCGGCACTTCGGAGAGCAGGGACAAAGCCACAGCCCATCTCCCCGCGTCTTTGCATGCATTGATGGCCTGAGTGCCGGGATCCACCCCAGGCCTAGGCCCCACGGGTTTACACGGGGCTGCCAGTGGGAAGAGAAAGCACTCTGGCCAACGAGGTGCCGTGTTGTAGGAGACAAGATCCTTGTCCACGGTCGCGGCTTGAAGGCCATAGAAAAGGCCCAGAGCTTTTTGCCATTGCCTTACAGTGGTGCCGAAATTGCACAAACTCAGGCTTTGAAACACAATCTTCGAACCCGCCAAGCCTGAAGCCCGAAAATTGCATCACAGCTTCCGGCCCTTCCCCAAAGCCCCAATGGCCGCGTTGTAAGTGAAGGTGTTTCCCCACACAGACTTCACTTGCATCTCCTTAGTCCATCGCAGTGATTCTGCAGGTTGGTTCTTTCACTGAGGGTCTCAATGTGGGGTTTCTGAAACTTAGGGTACCTTTTGGGGCGGTGTCCTTGGAGTAGGAAGCTTCCGTGAGAAATGCAAGCCTGGTAAGCAACGAGCGTCCATCTCGTTATGAGGAAGAGGTGTGAATACAAAAGGTTACCTCGAGAGTTCAGGAAGCTGGCAGAAATCTGGTCAAGGGGTTCGGGCTCGTCGTTCTGCCCAGAGTCTTCGAGGAGGTTGCACACTTCCTGCCACCTGTGCATTCGTTGTATTATTATTATTATTATTACTATTACTACTATTATTACTATTACTATTACTATTACTATTACTATTACTATTACTATTACTATTACTATTACTATTACTATTACTATTACTATTACTATTACTATTACTATTACTATTACTATTACTAGTACTAGTACTAGTACTAGTACTAGTACTAGTACTAGTACTAGTACTATTACTACTATTATTACTATTATTACTATTATTATTATTATTATTGTAAGCTTGGCTTCTTCCGAAGCTCTAGGTCCAGCCTAAACGTGTATGCTGCATGCTCCATCGGAGGTTCCAGCTCTCGGGTCCCCATGAACTCCGAGTGCGCGAGTCGTCCAGAGAAGTCACGTGACACTTTTGCATGCCATGAACCGCAAGAGGGGGGCACAAGTTTGTTCGTAACATATGCAATGACAATGATGTAGCGAAACTCATGGCCACGGACACGACTCCACGAAAGCAGCTGTGCGCTGTGCTCAGGCCTGCTCCTATGTACGTCTATGAAACCCATTGAAGCAAGTACGACAACCTCAGCTCGGGCTCAAGAATGCTTGGTGATTCTTGCTCAGGGGGCTTGTACCGCCTGAGTCCTAGAACCAATATCTCAAACCTGATACCTGCAGCGCCCACATGGGAATTCCATAAACATATGGACACTAAACACCCTAATTCCTAATTCAAAGCCTGAGCGAAGTAGTGGGATCCTTGCTTAAGCAAGGACACTAAACATGGGACCCCTGCTTTGCCCGCTTTTCTGCAAACTATCCGAATGATGGGGTGTTCAGCATCACCGACTATGTGTGTACTGTCTAAAACGCTACTATGCTCGGACCCTCTACGCACAGGCTGAGGGGACACACCAAGTAGGTTAGAAGCAGCCGCAACTAACGGTGCTGGTATCACAAAGATTGCTTTGTCCAAAGATCCTTCACTGAGGATATACATGCACGCGTCGATGTAGTGGTAGGCCCTTAGAAACCGAGTGCAGTAACTTACATGAAGTATGTCTGAAAGCAGAATGCCGGGGAATTTGAGGTTAGATGCCTCGAAGCTCTGCCGCAAGCGCTGATAGCCTTTGTGAACCTGATGACATCCTCGCGGGTGGAAGCTTCCTGATTCTATGTTTGGCTATGGTTGTTAGTGAGGGTTGGACGATTTGGAGTTCCAGGGCTTGCAGGATCTGTTTTATCCAGTTGGGGCCTGCTGCAGGCACACTCTGCTAAAGGGGCCCGAGATGGCGAACCAAGTCCCAGCATCTTTGGGACCACTCTCTTGAGGTTTGAAATTGTAATTAGCTGTCCTGGTCGACGGCGGTTCCCATGGCTGCGGCCGCACTTCATGAAGACTATCACCGGGACCAGGTCATTCAGTCTTCAGTGGATTTCCGGCTTGGGGAGGTTACGAGGCTGCGCCTTCGCGTGAAGGTTTTGCAGCTACAAGCAGCTTGCGGGTCCAAGCCAAAGACATGGGATTCCCGGGATGTGATTCTTGCAATGCAGAGCGGGCGTGTCCTCATGCAGCCGAAGGCGTCATCAGTCATCTAGCACGCACACCCGACAACTGCACCCTCAAAGCTGACAATCAAGCGCTTTGAAACACAGACCGTCGATAACAGTACTTCTTGCCCCTGGCCGTGTAAGGGTAAACCTCGGTTAATGGTCGTTACGGCGAAGACTTGCCTGCAACATCCCGACCCCCCCTCATCAGCCCTTCTTCCACACTCTGATTCCCAAGCTCCCATTGAACCTGAAATCCACAGGTCTACAGCATCCTTCACTGTTCGTGATTGACCCGAGAGCCTCGGCATGCTCTGGTTTAAGTCTACGCCTTGAGCCTGTAGACGATACCCAGTGAGAAGGCTTTGGGGCCACCAAGGCAGGACCGGGAACAAAGGCCCAGGCAGCGTCGAGTATTCCCGCTTGAAGGAGGGTAGTTCCTGACGCTGCTTTTGGACATCTGAGGCTTAGGACTGACCTGTGGGCTTAGACCTTTGGGTGGAGGGGGGCGGAAGCGCAAGCCTGGTTGAAGATCTGGTGCCCTGCACGACTCATAGATGGTCCAAGCCGTCAAGGTTGATTGCGTGCCGATGTGGTATGCTCTCTCTCACACACACACATGCCAAGCCCACTGTTCTCCGTGCTGACAGCACGACAACGACGATTGCTGCCAGTACGTGTATCTTTTGCTGCTGCTGCTGCTGCTGCCGCCGCTGCTACGACCATCAGTGAGTGTCACGGTGGCTACCCGTACTGTGACTCCTTCCAGTTTTGTATTGGGCTTGCCAAAGTCGGCATATTGCAATAGTGACAACGGTAGAATTCACACGAAGAGACTCTGAAGAGAAGACGAAATTGCCCACTGGCAGCAGTGGTAAAGACGACGAGGCCGGGGCAGTCAATCGGTCCGTCAGCGTTCCCCATATAGCTTCTGCCTCCGCTGAAGCTGCAGGCGAGGCTTTGCACTTTCCTACGCTTTTCCTAATCGAGTTTGAAATCCCAGTGCACTATGCTTGTGAAGATGAGCTAAGACAAGTCGGTGCTGAGCTTGATGCTCATGCCGATGCTGAAGATTGGGATACTGCTAGTCAGCTAGTCGTGGTGGCTAGTAATGCTGGCGCTGGTCGTGGTTTCTGTTGCTGGCATCGTCGTCGACGCCGAACCTGCTAAGCTGAGATGGTTGACCATGAAATACGACTGGTTGTGTCTTTCTTGCTCCCAGGAGCCCTTGTGTATCTCGTGTGCTTTACAGTGTTTGTTGATTTTCTCGCGGTAGCTACTTATCTCCTCCTCCTCGTTGACAGCGCCCGTGCATGAGATAAGCTTGTAATGCATGAAATGCATGTGTCTTTGCTCCCATCCTTGCTGTGAGCACCATCAGCAAGCCATCATCGTCATGCCTCACAAGCTTGGCTGCAAGGCCCAGAAGTGTTCCCGAAGTCCAAGCCGATGGCCACATTCCATCGCAAGAGAAAGCACGTGGCCGTTCGAAACTTTTGTGAGTGCAGTGTCATTTGTCAACGAGATTCAGCTCCTGAAGGAAGCTTCATGAAGCTTCAAACATGCGGTACACCCCCCCTTCTCCCCCCCAAACAAATCGACTCGGCACATGGTGTCGAGCCTTGAGTGACTGAGTGCCGCCAAGGAATACTTCACATTCCATCCTGAGCCAGCTGAGCAACGCGACAGCACTTCGACCCTGCTTGGAACCCACATGGAGCCCCAAGACGCCAGTCTTTCACAGTCGTCTTATTAGTCTTAATAATGAGCGGGGGCATAACCCTCTTGAATGGAAACTTCCTTCTTCGAGACAATGCCAAGCTGTGCTGCCTTATTGGGTTGATGGTGGGATCAAAGCTTTGATGGTTGAGTGGTTGAATGCAGTGGTTCAGGCCGAGGCATGTAGCGAAGTGTCAAAAGGTCCAATGCGCATGCGCACGCGGCAATCCTTTCCTATCGATTGGCCAAAGCCAAAGAGGCATCAACCCAAACCTCAACAACCAAAGCTCCTGGTTGTCTTTCTGAATGCGGATTCGGATGTCTGCATTTGAATAACAAGCTCCCTTGCTTTCTGTAGCCGGGCGTCTTCTCAACAAAATCGCTCTCGTCCACATCCATCACAACGTCTGTCGATTCGAGCGGCCCTCGTCGTCCCTCCTGTGAAGCTGTAGGCTGAAGCGTTCAAGGATGAACCCCCTTGACGAGATGGTGTCAGGGTCTTGGACACGGGCTCTGAGTGGTCAGCCACTGTGCAAGTGGCTAAAGCTCCGAATCAGTCGATGCCTTGAGGTTTGTGGAACTTCTAGCGCCCGGGGGCGGACTCCGAGACACTTTGCCCACTTACCAGGGTCAAAAACATCGGGGAGCAGGATACCACGAGATTTCTGAAGGCTTAGGAATAAACCTAAACTCATTGACCCTGCGACCATAACCCAAAACTCTCTAGCTCAACTTAACCCTTCAATGGCACGAGATCCTTCAACAAAAAACCAAAGAACTGTTAGGGACTTCCGGCCTTGCAAAGGTGCAGCCGCTCACCGTCGCCTGCACGAGGCACCGAGGACCCGAAATCCTAAAGCCGACATTCGACGTGCCTCCTTCGGGTGTCATGGGCGGGGCCGCATGTTCCTCCCTATGGTCACCACTGTCACCACCAACCTTGGTCAAGAGAGATCAGCGTTCACATGGGTGAACAGTATGGTTCAAGGTTTTGCAGTGCTCCTCCGTGTCCCAAACCGCCCCGTGCAAAGACTCGCTCAGATCCCACAACGACATACTTACATGGAGTCCGACAGTCGCTTAGCCCACCAGTAATTCATCGACCATGAATCACCGCAATCCTAACTGCGAACGTTTGAAACATCAGAAGCAGACAGCGGATTCTCGACGAAACTCGAAACCCTAAGCCCAAAACTCACTGTGCTGTTTTCGATGGACCCATGCATGTGCGGCCTTGCTTGTGCAGCAAGGCCTTCAGCACCGGCCAAAACCCCCTTTACGATTGCTACTACAAGTACGACTGCAAACCCCAAACCATATACAGCCCTGTTGCTAGAAACATGCCTAGGAAACATTAGCCCTAGTCATCAGTACTACCAATACTTAGGATTATTAGTTGAAGCCCCCCTCGGAACCCAAACTGAGCTCCCACACTGGCCAGCCCGTCTTCAAATGCATGCCGTTGGCCAAGTCTAGCCTGGTGGTTTCGACAGGGACAAACAAGGATTGCAGCAAGTGACGGCATTCATGCGAGCCCCACACTTGTAGCACCATGCAGGCTCTTCTGCCCCTTCCATGCGGCCTCCGCCCGGCGATGATGGTGCTGGCGATGCGTTCGGTCGCTGCCTCTCTATTGAGTCAGTCGCAAGGAAAGGCCATGCGAGTGGGCTTGCAGCTTGCATAGTCGGTGGGGCGTGCAGACTCACAAGACTCACACGGCCTCCTTTTGCGAGAGTTTCTAACCAAGATCCAAAGGCGTCGGAGGGATTTCCCGAGCCTAACCCAACTTTTATGCTATGGCGCCTCAAGGAACCCGAAGCGGCCGCACTCGCTGATCCTGATGCTGCTCAGTTTGGGCACATGGTCTGCTGCTCTTTGGATCTTCGGGTTCGCACTGAAGCCCAGAATCCCATAACTTCTAGCATTCTAGCATCAAGACCCCCGAAAACCCAAATCTTAGGCACCAACACCCGTTGGGAACGATGTACGACTGGTGCGATAGAAATAGCTCTCACAGAAGCATGACGTGTTGCTGTTCTTGAGGCACGGCTGTCGAGAACGCATTTCTAAGGTCTGAGCGCTTCACTCTGTTTCGCTGCCGGTCTTTCCTTCTCCGTTTTGTTTCGTCAGGGCTATGGTGTACGGGTTACCCCCTCCCTCCCTCCCTCTCTCTCTCTCTCTCTCTCTCTCTCTCTCTCTCTCTCTCTCCCTCTCTCTCACACCCACACACCCTTGACCTCTCCGTTCCTACTCCTTCTCTTGCTCTCTCGCGCTTCCATTCCCTTCTGTATACCTGACTCCGCAAGCTTGAAAGGAAAACAGCAGCATGAAACGGCCCGAAACTTGAAGTTCGCGTATATACTGCTCAGAACACCACTGCTTGATCGTTGTCAGCGAACTCCAACAACCCGAAAGCCGAACTACCACCAAATAACTTTCATCGGTAGTTGACCACATTCTCTATCGATCGAGTCTCTACATAGTCCTACCACAACCACACAAGATACCCCATACAACCCTCGTCACGATCCTATAGTACAGTACATGACATCTCGGCCTCAACGCAAGCACAGTCCGGGTGATCTCCGGATACCGAACGCGTAGGCCCGGCAATGCCAGAATCGCATCATCTGCAGTTTCAGCTCTTTGCAGATCCCCAGAAAACGTTTATGCTAGTCAGGAGATCGTTGTGTTTTGCTGGGCCTTTTGGGGTCTAGTCAGTCCAGTCAAAGGAAATAACGCTTCTGGGACTAGGCTTAGGGGCTCGCAAGTTTCAGGTTTGGGGAAAGGAGCCAAGACAAAACACGAGGCATCACGATTCCCGATCATTCTGAGCCCTTTCAGCCGAATATCAAACAAAGCTTTTGGCAGTCAAGAAGACGGTCTGCTTTAGAGCTCTTGCAATGTCCCCTAATGTCCAATGAACTACGTACATACTTGCATGCAGTGCAGTCAGTCTCGTCATTAAAGCTTCTGTACCATTACGGCTCAATCACCTGTTCCTGCAAGAAGCAGCCAATGACAGCAGGAATTAATGGCGCGTCAAGCCTAAGTGTTTCGCGAAGCTGTCTGGCTCGAGCTCCGCATCCTCTTTGATCTGTGTCTGCATCATCTTCCGCCTGGAGCTCACTTCTCCGGCAGCGAGTTTCCGACGCAAAGTTTCCCGAACATCCAGGAAAGCAGCCTGACAATTTCCCATATCCTATCCCTAACATGGCAGCTTACGAAGAAGTGCCCTGCCAGCTCACCCAGGAAATAGGCAGAGGCGGCCGGACAATGCTGCAGTGGTGAATACACTCACAATCTCCTATGCGTTGCCGCCAGAGGGCATGGCCAGAAACCCCAACTACTTGAAAAGAAAGTGCGGAGTCCACGAAAACAAGCGCATTGAGGCAGTTCAATGAGACAGGCCGCCGCTCTTCGCGCCCGTACGCTGAGGGAAGGTTCCCAAGCCTCAGAGGGAATCCCCCGTGGGCTTCAGGGCTTGGGGGAGCTTACGGAACCCAACTTGTGTCAGCTACTTGCCCTGCTTGCTTACAACATCTGACGACCAATGGTGGGCAGTCTTGGATTCGATCGAAGTTCTGTGGGAGCTTGCTCTGCCAGTCTAGAATCCAAGGCTTGGTGTCTTGGGCTTTCAGAGCTATGGAGCCGGATCACTAAGTCACCCGGTCACTCGGCCCCCTCAATTTCTGCAGCCGGGCGGCCAAACGTGGCACCGGAGCTGTGCACCCGGTCCTCGTCGCATGACCCAGAGCTTCAAGCAGAATGCACAAGCTTTCGAGGCTTCGGGGGAGTCTAACGGCAATCTGCAGGCACGATTCCACGATCCATGCCGAAACCGAGGATGGCTGGTGCGCAGTCTGAACCTATGTTGTGGTTGTTCGAAACTCAAGCTAGAAGCCTGCAGGAACCCCATCATAACCGGCTTCTGCAAGTAGGGACAACAAGCTTGCTGGGCCGTCGTTCATGCTAATCAACGTTTCATACAGTGCTTATAAGGGTTTACGGATACTTAGGCATGCTTGCACTTAAGCCGGAAACTCCGGTCCCACACAACGAGCGAGGGTTTAAGTCTCACGTGGCAAGTCGTACTTTGAGGGAACCCTGCCACTTGTCATAGTTGCAGAGTGAGGTCACAACAAGGTTGTAGTCGGGTAGGGTGCTACCACGATCCAAATTTCCATGTAGGGCTAGAGTTACGTAAGATCACCTCGATGTGGAAATTATGCTAATATGCTCGACCAGGAAGCCTCACAAACCCTCCACCGAAGTAAAGCCTCTCCTGCAGAGAAAGGCAGCAGCTCTTTCTGCCTCATTTTGCTTCAAGTTCAATACAGGGTTCAGGGTTAGCGCCATACATACTTGCCAGTATATATGTGTCTGCAATACCACCACAGTTATCATACGCAGTTGTCAGCAAACCGCGCTGTCGACAACGCGAAACTAAGGGACTCAGTAAGTATGCATGCATTCACGGACTCCAGAGGACAGGAGGCAGGAAGCAGCATCTCTACCGTAGAATAGCTGTCTACGGCATCAGCGGTCTCTTCCAGGCATTCGGCCGGAGCGGCGCGATGTCCAAGGTCGTGCCTCGATCAGGCAGTGTCTAGCATCGTGTCTAGGGATGGTGCTCGAATCCTACACCTTGATCTCCAACAAAGAGGCCATCCAAAACCCAGAATCCTGACATCGGTTATGCTCGTGCTCCTCAACACCTATGGCATCTATGGCTTCATGCCCGAAGAGAACAGGAAGGACCTGAATACTGCTCTAGCCGAAACCGGTACCCCAGCAACTTTTAATCTGTACCATAAGGTTTCGGTATAAGGTTTCGGATTTCACAGGGCTTAGAATTGAGGTGTCTTCGAGCTTGGGATTTCGACAGAACCTAGTGCACACCAAGCCTATTGCATGATCTCGAAACCTCCAAGTTCTTCCGTTCCGAACTCGCCCAGGCGTCATTAGATCCTAAGCCACACCCAGCCTTCGAGGTCAACGCCGGCACCTCGGTCGAGCACTCATTTCGTGAACTAGCCTTGCATTGGATTTTGTTGTGATTTTATGGCTAATTCAATATATTCTTTGGTCTTATTCATGCCAATGCTGCTAATGACTTCTCGGATGTTGAAATCTTAACCCTGGATCCCTCTGCGAAAGATGCTGCGTCAGGAGCACTGGGCGGACAGATCCGTGCGCTGCGGCCACCGATGCGAAGGCCACTGAGCTTCAAGGCCGTGCGGGCCTCAGCCGGTTAAGGATCGGAAGGACCTCTGTAGAAGGTCGCTTTTATGTTCGCAACTTCTAATTAGTTGCCTTTCATGCACTTAGTGAAGCCCGTGAACCTCCAAGTACCATGACTCAATGCTTCAGGATGACCTCACCATGCACCTCGTATGCTGAAACCCGGAACGCCCATCTCGCTTCGATGTCTCGGTTCGCTCTTTCTCATAGACCCCTCGGTAGCCGCACCAAAAGGCGATCATAGAACTCGACGAAGACAAAGGTGGAGGTGTTGTGCGTTCTCTGTCCTTGGAAGGAGCTTGGGTTTAGGCCCCAACCCTACGCATAGTAGGTCGTCCAAAGATGTATACACACGTACGCAGGTACATACTAACAGAACTGGAAACATGATGAAAGTAGGTACACTTGGCGGCTGTCCATGGTGATAGGAAGTGGGCAGCACAGGGGAGGGAGTCGCATGGTCTCTCCAACTTCTGCTTTCGGCAGTCAAGACCCTGCAAGGTGCAAAAACTTTTGCTGCTGCCAGAGGGTCGCTTGGGAGGTGCCGGTGGTGGAAAGTGGACCTCGCAAGGAAAATCCTCCCTTTGGACTTGTTGGGGACAGCGTATGCAGAACAGCGCAAGTATGAGGCGTGAGTTATGACAAGAAACAGCCTTAGACGACTGGACAAAGAATCGCACCTCTTTCGCATGCCATATCTCGGCTCCACACGCTGACGATGGGATTTTTAACATCGCGGTATCGCAAGCGGTAGTCCTCCAACTCCTGCTTCAGGAGCTGTACTCATGGGCTCAGGACCTGCACTCTTGACGATTGGGCAAGGGACGCTGAAGGATTCAGATGCTTGGGTGTGTGACTTTGGGAGCGTGTAGGCTTGAAATCTTTGCGGAGTTTGGAAGGGGTGAAGTTCAGGAGGCTTGCCGACGAGATCATGCAGCATTGCCAAAAAGGCACTTTGTTCGCAATGAACCCCCAACCATGGCCAGCCACACATGCCCCTTCCTCCTGACTTGCCGCGTCTTCGAAGAAGAACCTCTGTTCTATGAACTGTCCTGCTTATGGATGCCACGTGCGGTGCACTGAGTCCGAAATGGGGTTCACGGGCTCTGGCCTCGCCAACCCACAGAACCTCCCCTCTCAAGCGCGTCCTGAAAAGCAGCTTCGAAGGCATCGCGAACCACCTCCTAGTGGTCAGAGTTCCACACACAATGAAGCCGAGAAACTTGAAACACGGGTTGAGGCTGAATAGCGTGTATCTCGTGTACTTTGCCTGCACTTCCTACGCTGTGAGGCTCCCGGGAAGTTCGACGGTTTCCTGCGTGCTTCTGCGTCAGACCCTCCTGGAGTCTTCTACTGTCTTAGGGTTTCGGAAAGCATGCGGTCCAGCAGCCCATCCGGGAAACAAACTGTGCAAATAGACTGCGGACCCTCCTGCACACCTTTTCTCACACACTCGCAGCCGTGCATGAGAAACAAACAGCAAGCGAACACAGTTATGCTGTATTGCTGCTTTGATCGTGTGATGTGTTGTTCTCCATCAGACACATATTCATGAGGATGCTCCAGCACAAACCAATCTCGAGTCCGTGCGTTTAGTGAAATGGGGGTGCCAAGCCTGCATGAAAAGACAGCCGCTCATCTTGACCAGCGTTTCCAAAAACGAGTGAGAGCTGTCATCATGATGATAGCCCTGATAAGCATTATGATCGTGATACTAGCACGGTGATAGTGTTTGTCTCATCACAATAAACAGTTGCCACCGTCATCAGCAATCACGAACATTATCACCAGTAACTTGTAATACTGTGTGTGATGACGTTCTCCAATTCTCACTTGAAAAGGCGCCTCACGGAACCCTCCACTCCAGACCTCCCATGGAAGCCTCTCCCGGTCCTGGCGGGCGCTGCTCCACGCGAGGCCTCCAACATACACCTGCGACGCTGCGACACAGGGGCACAGGGGCGCATGTCGGGGCCGGGTTGTGGCAACGCCCCGGTAGGGCTTTGGCATCAGCTTTGGGTCGGCAGGTTGATGCCGGATCTCTTGGCTTGCCTTTCTATTGCTTGCGTCTGTGCGTGTATGTTTGGGGGTGGGCGGACAGGGCAGACCCCCCGTTGCCCAGGTTTCGTGAAAATAGACTGGATCGCTCATTGCTGGGTTCATGCCAGGTTCGGCCAGCACTTGGGCTTGGAGCCTCATTAGTACTGAGTAAACAGGCTACAGCTCGGGTTCGTATTGTGATGCCACCCCCCAACCGAGGTGCCTAGACTTACCAAGTCCCATGGCGTGCGGCAGCTAGCATGTATCAGTGCGGTCCTTCTCGTGTACCAGACCCGGCCTCACGCATGGATCGGTTCACGTTCTCGTGCAGCGGCTGGCGCGAAGGCACCTGAAGCTCGCGGGTTTGGCAGTAAAGAGCCTGAGTCCAGCACTTGCAGCGGCGCCAATCTACACTTGGGCGGCATGTTTCGGGACTTTGGGTGATCCATCGACCATAATTAAGCACTCCACCGTAAAGACTCTTGTCATCAAAAAAGCTTCTCCACATGCCGGGGACCCTGAATTCAAAGAACCTTGGACCATCCCCCTCCAGGGATCCGGCCGATGTCTTCCGGCGCTTCTGCTCTCTGGCGACGAGCTTGGCACGAGCTTTCCGCAGCTCCCTGAATCGCAAACGAGCAGGGCCGCAAATGACGGAAGGAAGCCGCGAAACTTCCGTTACCTCCAAAACCTTTATTTAACGCAAGTGCCGGGACAAACGGGCTTCTTGCGAGGGCAATGAGAATCGGCCGACGACTGTGATCCTTGAGACTCTCTCGTAAACTCTTCACGAGAAGTTTCACGATGTGATGCGATGACTGCAGGATCCTCGCCGCCGCTGGCACTGTCAACAATTCAACAGCCACAGAACTGCCCGTCGCTCAAGAATCCCGATCACCACGCAAAACCAGAGCACCTGTGTCGATGATGCCGCCGGCAAGGGTGTGGACTGGAACCTGGTCTACATCGTGAACTTGCACGAGTTTTTCGGCTGATGACGTCATAGCGTTAAGCCTCCTAATCGTACGGTTCTGGAAGACCATAGTGGCTTGCAGAGCATAGCCGCCGTGACCATTCGTGTAGGAGGTGGTAGAAATTGCGGTAGACGACGGGCTTGCGATGGTCGGAAGCATGACATCTAACTGGTGGGACAGATTGAAGGCTGCCAGCTTCAATATCTTGCCCGGAGCGTGGTTGAATCATTGAAGGGGTGCCAGCGCATAGCACTGGACGCTCGTTGGTCTTTCGGGGGGCTTTCCATCGCGATTCGTTCCTTGTGATGTTCTTGATGCTTTCGATCGACAGCTTGAAGTTTCTCTGGCCATTTGATCTGGTATGGCGACACTGGGAGTCGTGGAGGCGGGCGTAGTGTTCTGGACCAATTTCTGAAGTTGAGGCGGCGACGTGGTCCCGTCGGACTTGGGGATGGACGTTGTATTTCGTACAGTTGGAGGAAGCAACGATCTTCAGATAACAGGCTCTGAGACAGGCTTTCGGGAGAGATGTCCGCGAATCACAGCCTTCAGGACTGTTGCCTTCCTGGCTTTGCTTCTTCTTGCTGAATGTTTTCGCAGTGTCCCACCTCTCTGTTGCACGAAACGAACGCACCAGGAGCTCGGCTAGTGCTTCGTCGACGCTTCCTCCTTCGCCGGTGGGGCAGGCTCTCCGCATCGCCCTCCTGCGCAGAGACATCTCGGAATAAGCGTCAGCTGACGATTTCGGACGAGTCTCCGGGCACCCTGGTACAACGGGACCTGTCAGGGATGGTGACGTGAGTACTACTACCAGTTGCTGCTAGTCAGTTTCGTGATTGTCACACAGAATCGAAGCAAGACCTCAAGTATTTTGGCAATCGCAAAAACTACGGCGGCAACTACGATGACAAGCAACCCTGCAAATAGCATGTGGACGACGACTGCCATGACGGCTACGACTGTTTTTGCCTCTACAACTGGTTTTCTGGCAGCTACAACGACGAAAGACCATGACCTGCGGAATAGCAGTTGGAACAGCAACAGTGCTGCCAAATACTTGTGGTTGGATGAATATCGAGATGGACATGGTCATCAGATACGTTCACAACAAAAACATCGCCAATCATCAAGCTAATCCCAGTTAGTAGAGTCAGAAGGCAGAAACGACAGCAGGAAAAAGACTTCTTCTCGCGACTACTTTTTTTAGGGTTTTGGCTTCGGGATCAGACTCGCAGCTTCAATTGTCCTCCTCCTCGTCCGAGATGGCCGGCGAAGAGTCACTGCATGCCTGAAGGATACAAGGGCTTTGTCATTCTGCTGGTTGCGAGGAGACTCGGTCAAAGCAGCTAATGCTGACACAAGGAGTTCTCCAATCGACACACAGCTAACAGCGATGAAGAAGCGTGGAATTGCAGCTTGAGATCAACAGTCTGGCCATTGCGAAGTTGAGCATCGCCGTTCTCCCCAAGGCTATTGTCGTGAGGGGTCTCTCTGTAGCCACAGGAATGCCGAAGAAGAGTTTCCCTGGTCCGTGCCTCTTTTTCGGCGACCAAGTCTGTGCTCTCCACCGCCTGCTCCTCGTCCTCTTCTGACTCTGTGTCGTGGACGAGGTCCTGGTCTCGCCATGGTTCTTGAGGTTCGCCCTAGACTGCGCTTGTTCAAAGTGCTTTTGCTACTTCTGTTGGCATCAAGCAGCGGGTCACAAGTCTGAAAGTCAGTGCTGGACAAAACCCTTGCACGGGATAGAACTTGATAGAACTTGACGGGCACGCAGATCACCGCGCAAAACCAAATAGGCAGAGTCGACACAGAAAGCGGTCTACGGTTTCAGGTCCTTGTCGACTGATTGCTCGTCCTTGATTTCACCAGCACCCTCATCTTTTTCTGTTTCCCTTTCGTCCGGTGCTTGCTCCTGAAGCTGGGATTAAGAGATGCATCGCCCGACGAACCCACAAGCGCTAGCCAACACGAAACCATAAATGTGGAACCCTCAAAGCCATGAGTTCTAGACTCTAAACCCTCATCTAGCACGTGATTACGTGGAGACCACTAAAAAGGTGAGCGCGTCGGGTTGTGGATTTGGGTATGGAGTCAGGGTGCCGCCGATGGAGATTCGCCGCGCCTTTTCCGACACTTCGCCGTCTTCATCATCCGTCTCTGCACCTGCAGAGTCGACCTTGTGAAGCTTGCCCGCTTGTCGGGCGAGGTTTCGGGCACAGGGAGCCGAGGGTCGTCTTGAGAAACCCGGCTTTGCTTGGACAGTGGAGACAAATTATGAGAAGCCTCCGTGTCTCGAACCTTTCTCGATGCAATCCCAAAGAGGATCAACTGAAAGTTAAGCCGTTCAGTCCCGCTGAGGCAGCGGCCTCTGCTTTCGCTTCAGGGAGGTCCTGCATACAGCAACAGTGGCAAACATCAGGACAGCTTGAATGGAAACGCGAAAACAGTGTTCGAGTAGGCAGTCTGCACATGCAGAATGAACCCAATCACTGGAATGACTACATATGACAAACACCAACCCACAGCATGCCATTGCCCCTTCGGACTTGACAAGAGTCCAACCGTGGAAGTAGCAAACACCTTAGCAGTTCTCTGCTCCTGTGGCGACTGCAAAACTTCTTCCTGGCTCTGCTCGCCAATGCCGAGAGGCTGCTCCTAGCGCGAAGGCCGAGTCACGGCATCCAAGCGCATGCTAAGCAAATCCCGAAGTTTACAATTCCTGAACGAAGCTCTTTGCAAACAGCATGTCGGCGCACTGATTACGACTCTGTGAACGGCGACCAAGTTCGACCTTCGCTCCTCAACTCCTCGAATGCCTCCATTACCGCAAGCCCCCTGAGACTGCCGGTGGCCCTAAACTTGCCGGTTGGGGAGCACAACCACCATGCAGCGCAGAAATGCTTCATATCCATAGCCGGCACAAAGACAAAACCAATCACACAAGCAGCCGAAAGCCTGAGCCGTGAAGAGACAAGACTGGCGCTTTCGTTGCCTCATCGATCTCACCATCTTCCACCACTTCTCCTTCTTCCAGAGGTTCCTGCGTCGGCTGAGCGGGTTAGCTAAATGCACAGGTGTGCAGTAAACCGCGAGGTAGGACAGATTCCAAGGCTTCTTGAAAGAAACCTGCTAATTCCCCGAAAAACCGCCAGCTGTTGCCGAAGATCGCGCTGTCCGCAGAGCTGTTTCCACAAAAATGCCCTTGGGAACGAGGCAATGGCTCGAGCTCAGCTGATAACTGTGGCGGGAAGGTGGGCCTTGCGCAAAAAACCCAAGGGTCCTCTTGCACTTCTCCGTCCGAATCTAAATCCATAAGCAACGACATGATGGCTCGCTCAACCTTTGCTCACCACGCGCCAGCATGCAGTCTGAAATGTGCTAGTCTGCTAGTGCGTTGCTCCTTTCTGTCTGCAGGCGTTGTTAGAAGCGTGGTCCAGGCTGCGGAACTCTGCACGTGACTCTCCTTGCTGATGAGCTAACTGCAGGAGACAATGCATGAGCCAATGGCCCGACCGGGTGATACAACACAGGGTATCTGGCAAGCCGGCAAGGCAGTCCGTGAAGCAGGATGAACCAACCTCTATCCTATGACGGCAAGGCCCTACACGTATGCTCTGCGGCTTTTATCTTCCTACTCCATTTTGACTGGCCAATTGTGCTCCGCATGTTGCAGTCGGACACCTGGTCTGAGAGAACAGGCGGCCCGCTGCAAGAACCAGCCGCAGTTCGGACGGCCGCAAGTTGCAAACCTAGGCCTCGAAAATAGAAGGAAGGCGTGGGGTTCCTCGTGTGGATTTCGAAAACTCTCACACTGGATGCGGCTGAAGTAAGGGATGATTTTCCAGGTCTGGTGTCCAGCGGGATGCAAGCAATGCATGGGCGCTGTTTCGAGAAACTCTCACATTGGATGATGCTGAAGTAACAAGCGATTTTCCAAAGCGGTGTCTACAGCGATGCAAGGAATGCTATAGGCTTGCAGAGAGATAAACGAAAAAGAACTGATGAGAGAAATGCGCATAATATTGTCGGTCATGATCGATTTCCTGCTACTTAGCTTTACCGAATTGAATGCGAAGCATAACAAAAACAGCAGTCGTGCTGGCAGTCAGTTGGTGCGATTGCTTCTGCAATGATGGCAACAGAATCACGAAAACAGCAACGCCGTCAAGGGCCTGATGTCACAGACCTGAGTTCTTCCAGCTTCAGTTTTCTGGCAGCTTTAGCACCTCGAGGGGTGCAATAAGGTCAACGCATCTTGCGATAATCCGAGAAATCGAGGCGGCTCCGATTAATGATCACCACCCGTCGCGATAACCATGCTCTTGCGATGCCACGTTCATGACACAAGGTTCTGCTGCGCAGGCCAAAGACTGCCCTTTTCTGCCGCACGCAGGGGATGACTCTGCTACGGTGAGTTGAAACATACTATTAACCTCGAAGCCTCCTTGTATTTATCCATATTCACAACACCCAAACCACAGGATTACGCAAGATCGATGTTCAGACTTCTGCAGTGTTGGTGCCGGAGCCAGCGACTCATCTGCCGGCCTGGGAAGACGAGAACTTTGGGCTTTTGCCTTCGTGGCACAGCGGATCGGCTTCTCTGATAACTTGGATTTTGGGGTTTCTGGTTGGAGGGTTTAGTGTTTTGCACAGCAATCTGAATCTTCTCCCAAGTGGTTGACAGTGTCTCTCTAAGGCATTGCTTTTCGGTGCGCCAGAACCTTGGATGTGGACTCTCAGGACGTGAAGGAAGAGACCCCTTCGTGCATGAGGCCAGCTCCGTGTCTTGGGCGTTCTGGATCCTTCGAGCCCTAGCTGCGCCTTGAAAAAGCTCGGGACTTAGTGAGAGGGGACAAATCTGGCATCGGGGTTGGACGCACTCTACTTGGTGTATTCCGGCTCATGCAACCACCTCTAACTTATCCCAAAATCTTCAAACCCTCAACCCTAAATCTTTGACCTTCATTAGCCGTGCTCGCAAACGTACTTGCTACGTTCGCTGAGACGCCTGTAACATGCCCTTAATCCCCAACTAAGAGCCTTAAAATACTACACGCCTAGCCCCATGTTCATTTGTAAGGCGCAGGCGGCTCTGACGAATCTTCGACGTTGTTCTACGAAATGGCCCAGCTGCTGCGCCCAGTTCCTAGAAGGGGTTTGGGTTGAGAGGGTTCGGGTTGCAAGTTGCAAGGTTCAGGGCTTCAAGGTTAGAGGGTTGAGGGCTACGTACAGGAGGGCTATAGGGTTGCGATCTAAGAGCCTGAGATTGTGGACACTGCTGGAAATAAGGCACAACTTCGGATTCTCAGACGGTGTTCGTGCGGTTGCGGGTTTGGAGTTCCAGGAAGTCCGGGGCTCGGGGCAGCATCTGGCACGTCTCGAAAGCCCACAGCCCTACCACAGGCCTGGTTGCCTACTCTATTCGAGTAGTGCATGCGGAGGAATGGAATGACTTCGTGATCCATGCGATTTCCTCTGTCACCTGTGTTTTTCCGTAGCGTACCTGCACACCCGATGTTGGCATGCAAGGCCTGCTTTGCGGAGAAGAGCCGCGCAGGGCTGTTGGACGCGGAAGGGTACAGAGATTTTGGGAGGGTTTCAACAACAGCTCGGGTGGCAACACGGATCGGTAAGTACGACTGAGCAGTAGATCTCGCTTATCCATAGCAACCGACCCACGCCTCGTCTCATTGGCCAATCATGATCAGCCGTGGATTCGTCAACCTGAGGTTTTGGCTCTGGGTTAGGGCTTGGGATTTTACGGTGAAGGGCTTGGGAGTCCTTCAACCATTTTTGAGTGGCCTCTGAACTCTGGCAAGCCTCCCCTCGACATGACCATGAAGGGAATCTTCGGGGGTCCAGACTTCGGATGTGAAGGTGCTCTGGAACGTGCAGCAAAACACATTGGCACCGAGCCCATTGTTCGCGAAGCTGTCCTTCGTCTTGGCCTCCGGGTGGGCACATTCTGCTGCGAGCCTTATGTAGATCATCATAAGACATACGTCGTACCTTGGCAAAACGACACCCGGGTCAGGTTGAGCCAAACCGCATTCAATGCGACTCTGCTCTGAACCGGACTAGCTAACATTCGGGACTGCTGCGATTTTGCGATGGGTGAGCATCGGCCGCTGGGACCTTTGTATCGGCCGGGGCTTGTGGTTTATGGGTCGCGCGAGGCTGCATCTCTTTCAAAGTCAAGAAGCTCAACATCCCTAATCCCTGTAGGCCGCGTCTATCCGACCCGACTCAAACCCCCCCAGGCAGGGCTTCTCCTGTGTGTGGTCGAAGAGTGACTTCGCGATGCTGGACTCACCTGGCTTCGAAAGCAGGAAAGTCTCGGGCCGGAAGTGGCCACAACCGGATGATACGTCAAGGAAATGCAGGCACATCGCAGCGCATGTAGGTCGCGTGGGAATGCGTGGGATCGCTGTCGAAAGTCATGATCAATGGACCCTCAGCACAGTGCAGAACAAGATCTGCGTTTCCTCACCATTCAAACAACAACTGAACCGTCGCTGCAAGTGTGCCAAACCAACTTTGTTGATCCTGTATGCCAGGCCGATGGGGTAGCGAGTACAGACGCGCGCACACACAGTACACATACAGACATGTATATATATATATATATATATATATATATATGTATGTGAATGTACATATGTATATATTAGTATACATGTACATATGTATACATTGTACATGTATATGTGCATGTGTATATGTTTGTGTATATGTATACGTATATGCAATATATGTATGTGTGTATGCAAATACCTCATCTATCTGTGTATATATATATATACACGACTATGTAGACAAGCAAACCTCATTATGAGGACCCGAAAACCCAACTGCTACTCGGAACAAACTCAACATTACCAACTCTTGAACCACAACCCCGCCCCCTCAAGATCTGCCAAGCCGCGTGGATGAGGGACACCGTATGGTAAGGCGTCCTGGCAGCCTGGCGAGGGAATCAGATTCTTCATCTGATCTCTGGGTCACGGTACAAGATACTATATAGGCCTTGTAGGGTGTAGGGCTTGCAGGGACTGTCGCTTGGGGTTGAAGGACTTGGGTTTTAGGGGTTAGCAGCCTGGGCCCTCACACCTCGATGCACAACGTCAAGTGGAGTGGCGACTGGGCTAAAGTTGAACCGCTGGGGTAGTTTTGCCTCTAAAAAGACGCATAGCTTAACCATGTGCATATGGAGGGAGGTAGTGTGCAGATGGGCAAACACATACATACGTACATACATACATACATACGTACATACATACGTACATACATCTACATACATACATACATACATACATGCATACATGCATACATGCATACATGCATACATGCATACATGCATACATGCATACATGCATACATGCATAAATGCATACATACAGGCATACAGGCATACATGCATACATGCATAAATGCATAAATGCATACATACATACATACATACATACATACATACATACATACACGCACACATATGTACGTATGTATGTATGTATCCATCCATCTATCTACATATGTGTAGACATGGGTGTACAAATATATACACATACACGCAATACCCCCCCTTCGTGCCTAATTTAAACCCTTACAGCATCTCTGAGGAAGACCCCTGAGTTCGGACATCAGAGAGTCCGTAGCTCAAAAAATACTTAGGCTCTCCCTCTGACTCCTTTTCCCAGCTTCGCCCCCCCACCCTCTCTCTCTCTCTCTTCTTTCTTTCTGCTGGGCTTAGGGGTCTTGACGCTCTCTCTCTCTCTCTCTCTCTCCCTCTCTAAAGACTGCAGCGACGCGCTTTAGGACTTTAGGGGCCGCCGAGACCCGGGCGGGTGGGGGCGCAGGTGCCCTCGGCATTTGCCGCAGCAAATCGCTTCTTCAGAAGCTGCTCCGCGTCCCGGGACTGGGCGGGGTTGGCTTTGAGAGACCGTGGGATACTCAGAGGCTCAGGACACTCAGCAAGTATAAGCAAAGATCAAGGAATCGGGCTTATAAAGTTCCGGCCCAGCACCTTTTAGACGGGGATGATTTATCGCGTGGAAATGTGTGAAGGAGTTGTTGGTCTTATTTGGTGCAGGTTCTCCGGCCCATCATCTCAAATCTGCTAGGACAGAAAGGCTCGCTGCTGCTGAGAGTCGACCTGGAAGTAGAACATGCCTCGGCTGCAGGGTGCTGCAAGCTTCGGTGCTTCAAACCCGAAGATCTCCAGCATCTTGCGAGTCGATATTGCTGCTTCCAATCTTCCCGGGACATCCAGAAGGAGCCCTGAAGAGCTGTGCTGGCCGAGCTGCCAAGGCCCAATACGAGAGT